CCTAGACGATGGACCCCAGAACCTAGACAACAACTCGACGATGTGGAGAATCACTAAGATGATCACGATGCGCAACGTCATAGACGGACTGTGCCTGCGGGAGTGCGTGGCATCGGCGTGACCTGAAGATCGCGCCCGGCGCTGCAAGATCACGAGATTGAGATGGTGTATTGGCCCAAGGACGGGCACGCAGGGCGAGCGTAGTGGCCGATGGCATCACGTAAAAGACCCTGAGCCCCTTGCCGGCACGGGTCTCAGCGAATGTTCCCTGCATGGTTAGATTTGCAGGTACGCAGAGAATCCAGTCGACGAGCAGTATATAGCCACGGCGATATAGGCAGAAACAGCGCGCTCTTGACGTGAAGCGTTGCAGGAACAGTGGTTCGCAGGACGGGCAGCAGTTAAATGAGCAAAAGTCTGGAACATGTTCCGCTCCACAAGTGCCATGAGCAAATGAAGTGACGCGAAGCATGTGCCACCCTATTGACGGCCAGCGCCCGAAACGGAGGCAGGCCGAGAGGGGAATACGGATGGCGTGCGGATAGACTAGTGAAACGGCACTGGGGGAGGTATGTAATGGAGGCAGCTGGAGGCGATGGTGTAGACGATAGCAAGTGGGTGAAGGAAATGAGAGTTTGGTAGCTGGGAGCATGGAGATGTGAAAAGCAATGGCATTGTCAGCGCGCGAGAGATGAGTGTGCATGCGTGCATCGAGTGGCTGCGTGTCAGGGCGACGGCGCGGTGGGTCAACGTCGTCGCGATGCAGGGCCGACTGGTGGTAGCGGACCCTATTGGCGAGCAGGGAGCATCCCCGGCCCACCTGAGGTTTCAGGAGGTGTAGGTTTAGCTATTCTTGCACGCGAGGCAGCATAGAACATCGCGACGCCCCAGACACTGCTCAGGGCCTGCAGTCCATCACTGATCTCTCGACGCTTGCTGTCGTATCCGCTCCTTCGCGCTGCTTTCATTCTTCATGGTGCCGATTGCATCCACGCCCTCCCAAAATACCCCCCAGACCACCCACCGCTCTTATCACGGCTGCTTTTCCCGCACGCGCTGCTCAGCCCCGTGTCTCCCGCATTCATCCCTCCAGGCGGCTTCGACGGCTTCTTTTGCCCGGTCGCGCGCATGACGGCCCAGCGTCATCAATCTTCCGCCGCACATTCCATGAACCACTAGCCCGCCTGCCACTTCCTTCACCATGGCAAACCGCACCCAACGCCCGGGCGGCCTCGACTTCCGCTCTCAGTCCTTCGACCCTCCCACCACCGCCAACTCGCTCACCTCCAACCACCTCGGCCTCGGAAACCTCGCCAGCGCCAGCATGAGCAATCTGTCTCTCGGCTCCGACCTGCCCAGCCCGCGCACCGGCGAAGCGCCGCCCGCCCTCTCCCCTCTGGATGCCCTCGCCCTCCAGGGCCGCCTGCTCGCGAAGCGCTTCGAGCAGCAGGACAAGACAGGCCGCCGCCTCAGTCGCCTCGCGCCCCTCACCATCCAGAACGAGTTCGGCAACCGCGGCGGCTACTTCTCGTCCCTCTCCAACTCGACCGTCAACTCGCCCAACGAAGATGCAGGCCCCGTCCGCTCCCCGCGCCCCGAGGCCTCGCCCCGCCAGGAGATATCGTCGGACAAGCGACACCAGTCCTACTACCCGCAGTTTGGCATGGACGAGCCCGAGCCCCAGTACGCTATTGGGCCGCTGCAGAGCCCCATGGCCACCATCGCCGAAGCCAGTCCTGCGACGCCTCCCCAGAGCTACTTCGACATCCCCAGGTCGCGCTCGCCCGATTCGGTAGAGCCGCACATCGGCCTGCGCGAGGCCACGCCCGTCAGTCCCCATCTCCCGGCCGCTCCTACCTCCCACATGTTCCTCAGCCCGCAGAGGAAGCGCTCTGGCGACTCGCAGCATTCCCAGCACTCGCAACAATCGCAGCCCCGCTCGGCACCTCGCTCTAACCTGCTCCCGCCGCGCTCGTCCAGCTCCCTGCACTCGAACCGCTCACCGAGCATCCGCTCCGCCGCTGGCACCTACGACGATGTCGAGGACATGTCTCTCAGCGGATCCTACGACTCCCTGCACCAGACGCGCAACCTGTCTCCTAGCTCCAGCCTGTCGAGAGCCCAGTCTCCATTCACGCCTGCCACCGGTCCTACCATGATCCCCCGATCACCGTCAGCTGCGTCTAACTACTCGGTCGATGGCGGCAGTCTCCCGCGCCCTGCCTACAACTTCTCAAGACCCAATTTCTCACGCCCCACAAGCCGGCAGAGCGTGCGTCCGTCATTGGACGTAAGGTCAGATGCTGGACCCTCGCGACAGCCGTCCGAGGAGAGCGTGAACATGAGGCCCTCCTTCGACGACCAGCTCCGCCGACAGGACTCTAACGATATCCCTACTGCTCACTACGCCAACGAGCAGGTCCACACTCCCGTCAGCATGGTAAGCGAGGACTTCCGCCGGTCCGGCGAGTTCGGCAACAACCCAGCCCCGTCCTACACATACACCAGGTTCAACCTCCCTCGCGGCAGGGCCGTCGACCGCAAGTCTGTTGGCATTGAGGACTTTTTCAAACGCGAGATCAAATGGGACCAGCCTGGAGGCCAGCCTAACCAGACTCAGGCGCGACCTCCTTCACCCGAATCACCGCCTCGTTCTTTCGACCAAACACGCCAGCAACAGCCACAAGCTAGGCGGGATGCCTCCTTCGACCACGGTACCCCGTCCCTCACATCCAGCAACAGCACTATCCGCGCGCGGACAGCCGGGTCTGTTGGGGAAGTCACAGCGCAGCAGCACTGCGACATGGGACTGGAGCTTCACGAAGCTGGTGAACTACTCAAGTCCACCTATCACCTTCGACTCGCAGCTCGCGCTGGTCTTCCAGAAGCCATGTTTTGGTACGGTCTCGCTTGCCGTCACGGCTGGGGCATGCGTGAGAACAAGTCCGAAGCATTGCAATGGCTACGCCGCGCCGTTGACTCCGGTCAGCTGGAAGTAGCCGACGATGAGGACCAATCAAAGCACGGGCAGCCGACCGACCTTACCAAGAAGAAGCGGCATCGTGCTCAATACGCTGTAGCCATCTACGAGCTTGGCAAATGCTACGGAAACGGCTGGGGTGCTCCTCAAGACAAGTCCCTCGCACTGCGATGCTACGAGATCGCTGGAAACTGGGGCGACGCCGATGCTCTCGTTGAAGCCGGCTACTGCTATGCCGAAGGCGTCGGCTGCAAGAAGAACATGAAGAAGGCGGCCAAGTTCTATCGCGCAGCCGAAGCCAAGGGCGTCAGCATGGTGGGCAACAGCTGGATCTACAAAGACAAATACATGGACGACGGCTCCACCACCTCGGATGAGCGGTCCGTTCGCTCAGGTCGTTCCACCACCAAAGACCACTCCAAAGACAAGAAGGCCCGCGACAAAAGCAGGACTCGCACCATTTTTGGCCGCAAGAAGAGCGCGGCTGAACCTCTCCCTCCTATGGCTTGATCCCACCACCATCTCGCCTTGTACATGTGTCCACGAACCTTTCCTTTCACAATCTCTTCTTGCGCACGGCGTCTGGGTTTAAGCATATGCTTTGGAGGTCAAAACATTTTGCCTTTCGAATACCCCACATTAACGAAATCACCTTTGCCCGGCGCATAGGCTTGGCCGCTCTTACTCTTTACTTTGGCCACCCCGCGCTTCAGCGACATTACCTGTTTTGGACCACCGCCTTTTTGATCGAATATCTTCGACATGTCGATGTACCACCTACCTTTCCTTTTTCTCGTCTCTCCGGGTTCGGTTTTCCATTCGTTTCCTTTGTTTATACCATTGTGCGTTTGTGCGGTGTGCCCATGGGCCGCCATTTCCTTTCCTTTTCCTTTTATCTTGAATTGGACTCTCGAAGAAGTTCATGTGTACGTAAAGTCTAATTTACCGGTACTGGTGTACCTGGGCTGGGCTAGGCTAGGGTTGGCATAAGAGGAAAGCTCTCTCATCTCTGACGTTGGAAGACAAGTGTCATTTCTCTCTATCTGGGTCACGGCTGCTTTTCCATTGTTTGGCCAAGAAAAAGGGATTCGGGATTATAACTAAAGGCTGTGAATAGGTTGGGCTTTTCCTCTGTTGATATCCCCGAGCGTTAGCTAGCTAGCAAGCAAAGTCTCTTCCTTCATACCTGACGATGGGTGTGTGGAAGGGAGGAAATTGAAAGTTGAAGATGTATAACTACGCTTGCACTTTTGGCTGGTGATTGTGTTGGTGACTTTGATACTGATGCAAGTCGATAAAAGTGATGCACTGCGCACAAGCACAGCTTGGGCAGCAATCGGGCTGATAGTCGTGCCTGCTCGTTTGACCGGCGCGACTTCCATTATCGCATCCTCATCCGACGTTTCCTTCACCCGTCAATCACCACGAACAACAAAAGAACTGATGCTCTTCAATTTCCTACTCCATCTCGGTGCATATTCTGCAAATGCCGAACATATCAGCACTGTATATGTACACGACGACATGTCCATGTTTGACGGCATCAGCAAAGGGCACAGGGTCCGCAGCCAACGAAACCGCGCGCCCTTCGGAACCACTTCGATCACACGTGAATTTAAGCTACGTTTCTTCATGGCTATATGCGGTGGCCTGAGGAACGTGAAGGTAGGGTGTTCGTAGAGTAATCGGGCGCCGATGTCGCATCATCGTGGTGTCTGTAAGCAAAATATATGGCAAGTTCTTTCACCTAAGACAGTTCGCACATCAATTCCTGTCTTCCTCTTCAAGAAGTCTATCTGAAGATAATGTGAGAGGTCTGCACGCGGTAATTCCCGGGCTGAGTGCAGAGTCAACTGGTTTTCTTTCAGCTTCCGCCACCGCTTCACCTCTCGTCGGTCACTGTGACAACCAGAGCTCACTTTACACACCACGTCCACAGCTTGGCACCTCTGCTACCCATCCCAGGCAATCCTTCGTCCTACTGCGATCTTACGACAACTATCCTGAAGGCAATTCTACCATGCCTTCACTAAAGGACCTCAATTGCGCCATCGAGCTATCCGGGAGTCAACAAGCATTGCGAGAGTTTGGCACCATATACGGTGATGGCTTCGTAGAGACCTTCGTCCCCGTACCCAATAAACCACAGTCTTTCTCCATCCACCTCACTTCCAACAAGTTCATCGCTCCAGGCGTCGCCATCTTCGTCTACGTCGACGGTGTTTACCAGTGCAACCGCAATAGGCAGGACTTGAAGCTACGGAAGCCTTCCGATAGTCGCTCTCTTGTCGACTTTCGCGTAAGGCAGAAGGAAGAAAGGCAAAAAGATGGATCGATGATTGCGAGGGAGTGGGCTTTTGATAAACTCAACATTGGTATGTGTTGCGAGGACTTCATAGAACCGCGGTCTTCTAACTATTCACAGCTTCAGCGGATGATGCACCGAACATTTGTTCGCCAAACATTCTCGACAACATAGGCTGCATAGAAGTCGTTGTCCTACGATGCGCCGGTACGCGCAGTGCCAAATCTGCTTCAACAATGAACTTTGATGGAGCAGGAGACTACCCAGACCACCGGTTCGGCGTAGACGATAGCTCATCACCATCTAACGAGAGGTCCATGTACGATGATCGCGGTCCCTTCTTCAGCAACTTTGGCAATAGCCATGGTCCACCACCGCCTCTCCCGTCTTATCGCTCGCCATACGCCGAAACGGTACGTAGCCCGCAAGGCTCGACATCGAGAACTCATCGCACTGCATACCAAGCTCAGGAGCTCTTCCCTCCGGCACCTATTTCGCACCACTCGCGGCCACATTCCAGATACTCAGAGCCTATCAGTCCGGGGGCGCGGCGCACTAACGACCTTCCTCCGTCAGGTTTCCAGTACGGCAGCGGTCCTATCCCGCGTGACGGAGAACCATATAACACGCATCCTCCTCATGTCGGAGCGGTGCAACCTCCTACTGTGGATCCAATGTGGTTGAACAATCTTCTTACGACAGCAGTCAAGCAAGGAGTGGAAGAGTCGCGACGAATGGACACACAATCAGAAGGACAGGCGAAGTACAAGGAAACACATTTTGATGCAAAGTCTGCAAGTCAGCCACCAGGAGCGTGGCCTGAATCTCCATTCGATGCTCCAACACAACCACATCAACACATAGAGCAGCCGGTTTTCTCCTCGCGCGATCACCAGAGCGAACACGGTTCAAACTGGGCCAAGTCGCAGGCTGGCTGGGGCGAACGACCTCCACAAAGTAGAGCAGGGACCCATGTTACCTGGAACGCTGAGCCCGCTTTGGAGACCGACTCCTCCAGTGTCTGCGAATGGAACGTGCGGGAAGACACCCCATCCGACGCCTGGGACACTGGAGATACTTGGCCGACCGACAAGGCAGCTGAATGGGACGCCTCCAGCCAACAAGGAAAACTTTGGGTGACTAATCCTCCTAATCACTACCATCTGAGGTCTAGCTCCCCAGTCACTCTTCCTAAACACGATCGACGGCGCTCGAAGCACGAAACGAAACGAAGTTCACGTTCCAAATCGCGGTCAAGACGTTCGCATCGAGATCGAGAAATTACTTCTTCAGAAGAAGACAGCGGGAGTTGGGATCGTCTCGAACGGCCTTCAGACTCTGTGGTCTCGCTAAGTAGCTCTGACGCTACTCTCCAGCCATCGCGTTCTCGAAGCCGGGTACAGCCTTCACGACGAAGATCGAAGAGCCGTTCTCGAGTTTCCAAATCGGTACAGCGCGATCATGAGCGGAAGCCATCGAAGTATTCCCATCGTCACCCGTCTTCGAGACCTGCGGATGAAGTTACAGCCGCTGCGCCTGCGCCATCGGTCATCACGCGAATGACACCGACAGTTATGAATGCGCCTCCTTCTGTCGCCCCGGAACAAGTACAATCACGACAGCCCAGTGCTTACGCTAACCCACCTGCTTCGGTTATACCTACCCCAGAGTGGGGAGCTGCTGTTCACGAGGCTATGAGGAAGCCTAGCAACGTTCCGAGCAACACGTTCCCAGCCCCATATGCACTGTCGATGAAGGACTTTGTTCAGAGTACAGCTGGTGAAAAACTAGGAGGCAATCGACCACCTTCGCTTGCGTCTTGGGGTAACGACAAGAACGATCACACTGAAAAACTTTCTTGGGGCAAGGCAACTGAGAAGAATCTCGGCTGGGGCAAGGATACTGAGAACGGTTGGCAAGAAAAGAACCTCAAGGAGAACGATAAGAAGGGTTGGTACTCAACCGATGAAGATCAAACTGCAGGCTGGAACGATACAGATGACAACAAGAAGATCCAGGCGGACAGTGACTGGAATAGGAAAGACAACGGTTGGGGTAATCCCCCATCATCTCCAAAACAAGAGCGAGTCGACAAGATGAATGACTGGGCCGGCCTCAAATCCGCCTTGACATCCGCTTTTGCCAACCCAGCAGTACCAGCACCAGCACCAGCACCAGCACCAGAAGACGCCTGGCCAACCCAATCATGGAGCTTTCCCGCCGACAACCCCGTACAGCCCACTGTTCAACAGCCAACACCTACACCCTACGCGTCCGCGCCCGCTCCAGCGCCACCCGAAACCGCGAAACCGAACGCACCCACCCACCGCATGAGCAACAAAACCCTCTCTCGATACCGACCCAATCACAACTTCCCCTCCCGCATCCATCCCAAACCCACGCCAAACTTCGCCGCTCAACCACACTGGCAGTTCCCTCCTCCTCCTTCTACCTCTACACTCAAAACCCCGATCCACGCCTCCTCCTCAAACAATACATACATCGCGCCCGCCGAACCGCGCCTCACCATCAGCAAATCCACATCCAGCACAAAAGGTATCGAACACGCCGTGCGCGCAGGCAAAGCGACGGAGTACGGTCATGTTGTCGGACGACCTGAGTATCTAGATCGTTTGGAGAAGCCGTATGCGGTGTTTCGGTTTAAGTATCGGAGTGAGGGGGTGTTGAAGGGGTTGGGTGTACTTGGGGAGGGTGGTGTGGATGGCAGTGGTGGGGAGATAGAGAAGGAGATGGAGAAAGCAGAGAAGTTGAAGAGCGTGCCGCAGGAGGAACTCATTGCGAAGATGTTGGCATTGGAGCGGAAGTCGAAGGGTAAAGATAGTGGAGAGGGTACTACTGGTGGTGGGAAGGAGAGGAAGCACAGTAAGAAGAGTGATGAGAAAGACAAGGAGAAACAGAAGTCGAAGCAGAGGAGGTCAAGTGTGAAAACGGAGGCGCGTGGCGATGGCCGGGTGAAGAACTTTACTGAGCAGTGGGTTGAGCGGCATTCGAGAGATCCGAGTGTGAAGGCGAAGAGTGCGGCTGTTAAGGAAGTAGGCTGGGAGGGGGATAATCAGAGGAAAAGCAAGGAAGCGGTGGGATGGTGGGGACAGGATGTGAATGAGGGATGGGGAGGTGGAGATGTGACATGGTAGGATCGATGCTAGCTAGCTAGTCAGTCTTTGGATCGACATCAGGAGGATTGGATGTGTAGGTGTATTTTGTACGTATAGACATCGATATAGATAGACAAGACAATATCATTGTCAGCTTTGGCTGTTACCCCTCTCTCCCCACGATCAAAACGCAGCAAGTTCATCCTCACTCCCCTCCCCATCAACATCCACCCATCTCCGTTTCCTCACTTCCAACCCCCCTAGACTTTTTCTCTTCGCCGCACTCTCCTTCGCCGGCGTACTCTTCCTTGTCCATTCCCTCTTTATCCGTTTGTGGAATGCTTTCCGATCGGCTTTCGATGTGGATTTGCTGCCTTTGTCACTACTGCCGTCATGTAGGTCGCGGACTTTGGGTGTTTGGTATGTGGTGGATATGAACGCGGTTCCCGGGGTGGCTGGTTCATGGATACGGTTTAGGGATGGAGTTGTTGGGTTGGGCGGTGATGGCAGGAGTTCGTCGTCGGCGGAGGTGCCGATGAGGTCGAGGGATGGGCTTTTCCGATGAGAGGTGGTATGCGTGTTTTGCTGATTTGGTATTTGGATCGTATCAGGCTTGATAGTTTCTGAGAGTCTGATGTCCATGTTGTGAGATGTAAGGTCGTTCTGGAGCTCGTCATCGGTCTGTTGCGAATCGGGTATTACTTCGGCGAGTGGTGTTGCATGCTTTCGTATCCGAAGTGTAGTTGGCGAAGAGAAGGCTGGCTCGGCTTTTATTGCTATGCAAGATGATTCCCGGACTGGTGTTGCGATATCGTCTTGCGTTGGTAAGTCTGCAAGCAAGTCGCTCTGTAGTGTGTCTTCATCGATCAAATCTCTCGTCTCGATGGACGGCAGTACCACATCTCCGGATACATCTACAAGGGTATCGTTGTCGTCGTCATTCATCGGGAGTTGCTCCTCGTCATAATCATCGCCAGCAAGGGATAATAGATCACGGTCATCGTCATCAAAATGAGTGCTCGACGATTGCAAATCCGGAATGTCACCTTCTGTCGACTGGACAAGGCTCCGGTGATAGTCTTCATGCTCGGAAGAACCCGGTGTCGGCAGATGGTGCGGCGGCTTCGACACGGCGGGATGGTGTTCCTTGGAGACCTGATCCTCCCCAACAACGCTACCACCCTTAGGAGCTACAGCAGGCTCTTGCAGGTGAAGATTCTGATTCTTGATCAAATTCCAGCGATTGTGAAGTGCAGCCATTGGCCACTCCTTCCACTTTTGTTGGCCGTCTTTGATGACCGCCCATGATACACCGTCTATTCTCTTGCGCTTGCTTATGTACACGTCATCTTCGTGAGTAAAGTGATATTTCCTCGCTGTCTTGGGAATGCGCCTCTGGATCTCAACACGCGGACTGGTTCGACGGGGTCTCGTTGGTGAGCTTTCATCTGGTCTTGTACGGATTGAGGCGGCAGATCCTCCAATAGCAAATTTTATTGAGATGTTGTCTGCAAACTGGCCTATCTCGCTCGCTATCGGTGCTGTTGTATAACTTGGGAGAGGGCTCGACTGGGCGACTGGACATTGGCGCGGTTGGGCAGACAGAGGCGGAAAGAACCATTTCGGGTCCGTCGCAGGCGCTACCTTGTCATCTGTTGTTGTTGTTGGTGTAATCGGTGGAGGTGCGGCGTTTGCGAAGGGTATCGGGGCGTTTGGCAGTACAAGACCGGCTACGGCTTGGTTGACAGCTTGGTGAATTGTCTGCAGCAGACTGGCGTGAAAAGCGCTTTGTGCTTGCTGTCCCGCAGGCGTTTGTGGAAACTGAAGATGTCGTAGGAGGTCTGCGGTGGGGTTCGAAGGATTGGGCGTTTGCGGGACAGCGAATTGCGGTATAAATGTTGCTGGCAAGTCGTGCGGGGGTATTGTAGGCTGTGACGCATTTACCTCGGTGGCTACGGTCTGTTGTTTGTTTATGTCTTGCTCAGGTGGTTCAGCAGCTTTGGGTTTGACCAGCTGCGGGGGTGCCAATTCGTCTTCCGAATCTCCCTCCTCTCCCTTCTCTTCGTTGTCATCTTCATCATCCTCCGAATGGCTCCCAGATCCCATAACAATTGATTCCAGTAATGTCTTCTCTTTGCCATTGCTTTGACGCTTTATTCTTCGCAGATGGCCTCTATCCACAACCACCCTGTTTGTGTTGAAGTCGATTTCGTCGCTTTGGGATGGATTCATGTTTCCAAATTTCTCGAATATAGACTCAAATCGGCTTTTGAGCTTCTGTTGTTGTTTCTGCTTGGCCTTGACGTATTCGGCATTGTCTTCGTCGACCTCGACTGATTGCAGTATGCGCATGCGCTTTGCCGGCGGTTCCATGGCGCGTGTTGCCGCGCACTTTAGCAGCGAGCATGTGTCTCAAACAGCGTGAGGGCGGTGTAGAATAGGGGTCGGTGTGTGGGTGGTGGGCGTTTGCGTGTAAGACAGTTTGTGATTGCGATGCTGTGATTGACGCGAGCAGCGAGACGCGACGCGGTTTCCTCGGCAGGCACCCGACACTTAGCGGCAGCCCCACCCGCATGCAGGTGATCGCCAGTGAACCGCAACCGTCATTCCGTCAGCGCCTTGGAACCCACAACCTCTCTCAAGCATGAGGAAGCACAGCTCATGACAACATGGCCGTCGAGAAGAAACAGACTGCTTTAGCCTGTCAGAAATGTCGGACGCCCATAGACATCGACGCCTCCATCGACCAGCTCAACCCGGCCGCCTTTAAGCTACTGACTGGTACACGTCTATTCTGTAGACCACCACGCATCAGACTAACATGTTTTAGACTCGACGGTATCAGGCCAACAGCCAGCATCACGCATATCCCCCAACCGCCAGTCGCGTCCTCCGAACCCGCCCGAACACCTCAAGACATATCAAGATGCCGCCAAAGACGCCAGGAACCCTACCTTCAAGCGCAACATCCAAGGCGCACCGCCTTCGGGACCCTCAAATGGCCCCCAGAACCCTGCCATGTCGTTTATCGACGTACACATGTCCGAGTCGATGATAGACCCACCCTCTTCAGCCGTCCGTAGCCCAGATCGGAAACCACAAGCAGGCGAGACGAAGCCGAACACGAATGACAAGACACGACGGAAGAGCTTCTCGAACGGGCTGAACCTTCAGGGCGGTGCGAGTCTGTCCGATACACTAGAAACGACGAACCGCATGTTCGAGATACTATCAGCACGCTCCGACGTCGACCACCCTATATGCGTAGAATGCACCGAGCTGCTCATCGAAGGCCTGCAGAAGCGCCTAGGCGTAGCGACCCGCGAACGCGACGCATACGTCGACTACCTCCGCCGCGCCAACACCGACGTGCCCAGCACCGAAGAAGTCAAAGCCGCCGAAGCCGCCCTCAAAGCAGCCAAGAAAGCCGAAAGCACCGCCATCACGCAGCTCGAGAACCTCGAAGCCGAAAAGGCCGAACTAGACGCCCAGCTCGCCGCCCTAGAAGTCGAGAGCCGCATCCTCGACCAAGAAGAAAGCGAGTTCTGGAAGAGCAGAAACGCCTTCAACACCACCCTGACCACTATCCAAAACGACCGCGACGCTCTAGCCACGCGATACGCGCACGATGCGCAAATCCTGAATCAGCTACAAAGGAGAAGTGTATACAACGACACCTTCAACATAACACACGACAACCACTTCGCCACCATCAACGGCCTCCGTCTCGGCCGCCTGCCAAACCCGTACGTCGACTGGCCGGAGATCAACGCCGCATGGGGCCAAACCTGCCTCCTCCTCGCCACACTAGCCGACCGACTAAACTACAAGTTCGACGGCTACGAACTCTGTCCCATGGGCTCTACATCCACCATCACCCGCATCGAAACGAAAGGCGGCACCGGAAACACAGTGTCTGAATCAACACGCCAACCACAATCCACAAGCGCCAACTCACCTCAAGTAACAAGACAAAAACTCGAACTCTACTCCTCCGGCGACTTCCCGATAAATTTTGGGTTTCTACATAGAAAGTTCGATACGGCCATGGTGGCGTTTTTGGAATGTCTACGTCAACTGGGTGAGTTTGTGGAGAACTCTGCTGCTGCGCCGTCGCATGCTGTAGGTGGTGTTGGTGCGGGTATAGCGGCACCAGGAGGTGGACCACCAGGCGGCGTCAAGATGCCGTATGAGATACAGAAAGATCGCATTCACGATCAGAGTATCAAGCTGGCTTTGAATAAGGATGAGGGATGGACGAAGGCGTGCAAGTATACGTTGACGTGTTGTAAGTATTTGCTTGCGCACGCGAATAATGTGGAGAGTTTGGGTGCGAGGCGGCGGTAGGGGTGTAGGAATTGAGTTTGGGGAATGTGTGGTTTGCTGCTTGTTTGATTAGATACCCCATTGATCTTTTTTGTGTTTACAGACTTGACATATTTTCTCTGTTATGGTAATGGATGATCATGACGGGTGACTACGAGTTGGTATATTGATACGATAGAATTGCACCTCTACACTTCTGCTTGAATGCTACGGACTGAGTGCTTTGCATGGATCGCCCTCAACATCCGATCTCCTTATCTCACGTTGCATTATGGAAAGCTATGCACTGCACAAACGACTCCCTGTGAATGGACGCGCACGGCGCGTCCCTATCTCATGTGATACAGCGCCAGCAACAGGAAGCTGTGTACATAAGGCTCTTTCGTGTTCCCAATGCCCGATGTCCCTATATCGTGTTGCACCTACCTTTTGATGAAGATGCTACGTTGCGGGTGCTAATCTTACTGCGAGTTGTCTGAAGTCGTACAGAGATCCTGTGCAATAGTGGTTTTGAGCTACATTTGACCTCATAGCTGCGAGATAAGGATCGAGAGCTTATTCGAGGCTAGCATTTGGCTTGAAGGTCTATAGGCGATAGTAGGGTCGCAGTTCCGTGTTGCTGTACCCTAAAGCTTACTCTGATGAAGCCTTGCGTACATGGGCGTGTCTTGCGAGAGGTAGCACTGAGAGACATCTCCCGTTGTTCAAGATAGGAGACGGCGAGCTTAGAGGTCCAGCATGATGCCAGCAGGGAGTTTGACGGCCGTTTAGAAGATTGGAAACACCCGTTGTGTGCTCAGTCATGTTGCTGTCAACCAGAACCAGAACGGCAACTTACTGCTTTGATCGTCAGAACGTCGTGTGATGCTGTTGATGCGCTGCCACCGCACCGACCGGGAAGCACGGACACTACGACCGACTCAGCATCCGGGAGGCACCGACGTGGCAGCATGAAGCCCCTCTTGAATCAGGGGCGAAAAAGGAAGGTCACGATACTTGCTCGGTGGTGTTGCGGCTCCTAGCGCTGGGTAGGACCATGTCAGCTGAGTCGTACAGCCCCGTGACTACCTAGGTATCGGTGGCGCACGTCCAGCCGGACGAACAGCGAAGCCGGCATCCATGGGCGAGCAGGCTCGCAGCGGCATAACAGGCAAAGCCGATGCTCTAGTGGAAACGGAATGCCTATCCCGAAGCCTAGCTTGCCGGTGTGATCGTCTCTGAGCTAGATGAGCTTCGTGGAAGCGAGCTGGCCAGGGGTTTTGAGATCTTTGCGGGGTAGCGTATTTCCTTAGCTCATAGAAACCGAGAAAGGAAATTAGGGGTAAGAAGATGGACATTGGGGTGCTGTGGAGAGGCACAGTCGATATAGTGAACGGTCTGCTGTGCTCGTTTGCGCAAACACCCGTCGAATATGCCGTCAGCGATTGCATCATTCTAATCAATGTCAGCACTTCATACCCTGATTACTTCCGCTGTTTGGGGATCGCTGTGTAGTGTGCTCGGCTCAAGTGGTGGGCTAGAGTAGTTCCCGTAACGGTATCGATTCTTGGTTGTGGAGAAGTCGCATAGCGGGGAAGTTTCGAAGACGTAAGATAATACCAAATAAGCCCAGATGGACACGATGGTGAGAGGCCTAAGCTCCAACTCATGCAACAGACCGGAAAATACGTGTCACCAGGAGGATGAGCCCATGCAGGAGGAGAATTTGCACGATCCACTTGGATGTGAAGGTCATGACATGAGTTGTGCGTATGGCATAGCGTGCGACGTGCCTTGCATGGGGAGCAGGAAAATCCAGCACGTTCTGGATTCGTGGTATTCAATGGAAATAGGTGTTGCAAGGCTGGTCGCGTATGTGCTGTGCTGCACAGGCTAAGACGCTGGCAGTTTGACGACATAAGGTGCGAGACATGACATAGATGGCGACACCCGCAGCCGCAGCCGTAAACGCCTGGAGAAGCGGAGATGTCGAAAGTGCCCGGTGCGTCGGATGTAATATGGCACAGCAAGCCACACGCTCGAGATGTCGTGAGAAGAGGCGTGAGTACGGCATCACGACCAGGCGACGCGACGCGACAGCATGGAAGCAACGGAGGTTGGACCCAGCAGAGAGGCGCCATGCAGGCACGGGGATGATGAAAGATGGTCGGAGGGTCTCGTCAGAGATTTCCATGTGTCATTGGTGGTCAGGTGGCCTGCGGATTGAATTTCCTGGGGGTAATCGAAACGCCAGCCACGAGCCACGTGAAGCCAATTTTCTGCTTTGCTTCGCCGCCCCAGCAAACCCGAGCCCGCCAAGCCACCGTGACGTAAAGAGAACCTAACCTCACAACCACTTTCCATCGCAAAACTATACGCGTGCGACGTGCTGCTTACTGCCCTATTGGCTCGGTTGGGCTGTGAAGTGATCCTTCTAGCTCAGAGCCATGTCGGCCCAGCGTCCGAGTCGTTGGCGCTTGTGCATGGACCTGGGGAAGACACAAGACGTCTGACTAACAATGAACCACGGTGCTCTTTGTCCAAATAAATCTCTGCGGTAGGTGCTGCCTGACTATAAGAGCCCCGGAGTGCCTTTCACTCTGGAATAACTGCCTGACCTGCCACCTGATACATAAACCTACGGATCCCTCACCTGCTCTCACACCACCAGACAACGAGTCACCCTACCGTCACCACCGTCAATCATTCAATGCACATCAACGACTTCCCCTACGAAGTACTCATCCAGATCCTTGAGGAGGTCACCAAGGCCAATATACGTGATGGCCCCACGTATACATTTGGTCTCCAGCAGGCGCCACTGCCTCTCGAGAGGGCCAAGCTCCAGCGCTATGTGAGAGGCCCGGTCCCGCCAGAGCTCCTCAAGTGGGACGCAACTGCCACTCTACGATCCGTTTGCTGGAAGTGGCACGAGTGGGCTTTGGAGCACTCCATCAAGGACGTCTACATCCGTCGCTGGAAGGGCGGAGAGGTAAGCAGATCAACACACCTGACGATGAGGACGATGCTAACATGTCATAGCGATGGGCCGAACTTTCCAACAGGCGAGAGAGCTACCCACTCTACGAGCTCATTGACCGTCCGACTGGCACAGCGGTCTACCGCGACCCCTTCGCCTCTCTCAAGCGGACTGTGAGCATCTGCAATGACTACCCGCAGGTGGCCGCCAAGATCAAGCGCATGTGGGTGCACGGCTTCTACACCGCCGAGACCGACCGTTTGGTGTTCCAGTCGCTCAAGAACTGCACCAACATCACATCGCTCTCTCTTCCATGGACCACCATCCGTCACGTGGACGCCAATGCCTGGCGGGCTGTGCTCACTGGTACCGGCAAGCCACTCCAGTCGCTGGAACTTCAATGTGTCGACCCGACTTCGCAGCAAGCAACAGACAAGGATAACATCGTTGATGTGGAACCACTGCAGTCGGTAAACTTCAGTCAGCTGCGGCGGCTGAAGATCTTTGGCGACACTAGCTTCATGCCCATCACCGATGATGATCTTTTCGCCATCGCTCGCACGGCCACTCAGCTGGAGGAATTCCACTTGACCTGCAACTCCTCCATCACCATCGATGGTGTCATGGCCATTGTCAAGGCATCTCGCAAGACGCTCCGGGTCCTGGAGCACAGCCCGCGGTCACAGGATGGCTTCTGGCACCCGCATCCGGGATCACCGAGCGACTGTGAGCATCTCTGCGACACGTTCCGGAACTGCCCAAAGCTCGAGACTCTGTCCATCTCTCTCCCTTCTGTGTGCTCCCATCTCTTTTCCAACGACAATGCGAAGTTCGCAGGTGACCTGCAGGTACGTGCTCTGCACTTGTGCGAGCACGAGGACGGCCGCTCTACCCACGAAGCTACCGACGCCCTGCAGAAGCTTCTTGAGCAAGCCCGTCGCTTTATCCGCCTCCGCGCGCAGAGTGCCATTCCTCGCGAGCTGTACGTTGAGCTCTTCTTTGCAGAGTGCATCTTCGAGCCCGGCTTCCAATCCGTTCATGGCGACTTTTCGCTGGCGCAGGTCTCGTCAGACGGGCACTGGCCACAGAACGTCGATTTCAGCGGCAAGGGACCCTACGGCAGTACCGGCCTTTACGGAAAAGAGGAGGAGGCGCAGTTCCAGCGCATCGACGAAGCCGAATTCCTAGCCGGCGTCCGCAGGAGGCTCCTCTCTATCCAAACCTGATTGTGGATAAAACCACTGATAACGGCCGACTTCACTTCAACTGTAACTTTTATTGCGAAACCTATACTTACGAAATTACGACCACATGCATGAGCGACAGGCCTGGAGCCAAAGAGATACCAGGCTGGAGCAGCCATATTCTATTCATGCATTTGGGGAAATTCATAACGAGAACATGGCCATGTTCCGAAAAAGCGAATACTGCGTATTGATTACTTGGGATGGCGGGGTGTCTATTGCTTTTTTTCCATCTTGCAGTTTGTTAGCATTTTAGCGTTCAACCTTCAAATCAGTATAATGAATCAAGCTTCACACTCATCTGACAATCTTCCCATCGCGCATCATCTATGCAAACAGTCTTTCGCGCATATTCGATAGAGGAAACTTGCTTCAACCCCCGACCACGAGAATAGCAACACACGATTGATAAGAAACTTCGCGAAAGCTCCAATTTTGCCAACGGGTTCCACACCTTGGCGATCAAAGACCAACACCCCGCACCTGCAGTCCACGCACCCACACCCTCCCAAAGCAGACAAGCCCAGGTGCAGCTTTCCGCACTTTTTGCTTACACACCGCATGGTCATCCGTTATGTACGCCGGAAGCCAACCTCTTTCTCTATCCGAGCGATGGAGCTTACCAACCTAGAGTAAGGTCTCAGTCCCGTACACGCCGAACACCGACCGATTGTCTGCTGAATAAGAGGCACGGCAGCGCGGAAGATGTCCGCCCCAGCGAAAAAGTACTTGCCGGGCCCGGGACGGTGGGTTCCTCTGCAATTGACTCGCGATGCAGCAGGTTAGCCGGAGGAATTTTACCAACAACGTACCTTTCCCCAGCGAAACAGAAAAAAACGAATTGACAATCTCTTACCAAAGGCTCATGTAATCATCGGAAACGCCTATGACGCTACTGCACCGGGTATATATGTGGGGCGCTAACCGTCGGAGCTTTACTAGGAGTGGTATAGTGAGGAGCGCTATGAGGGGCAGAATGGCGCAAAGCAGTTGTTTACAGGACAGCTAGGTAGCTAAGCTCGCTCGGTGCGATTGGGCCGGTGGATGATGTAGTAGCCATGGCATGATGTATTGCGAGACAGACACAGTCTATGGGGATCGAAGACTGTTGACAAGGGGTCTGGGTTATCTCATGCACCATGCACATGCCAGCCCCCGGTGGTGCTGGTGCTGGCTGCTGGGTATAAGTAGAAGGTGCGTACCCCACCCCGGAAGCTCTCTTCTTTACTTCTTCACTACATACTCATCTCTCTCGAATCGTTCGTACTCTACTCGTTCTTTGTGATACCCCCCGGAAGTTATTCAAGATGGCTCCCAAGATCGCGATTGTTTACTACTCCATGTACGGCCACATCAAGAAGATGGTATGTTGCGATTGTGTTGAGATGGGGAGCTATTGTTGGTTGCGAAACGGCTCCCCACTCGATTGATTCCTGGCAATCGAGAGTCGCTGCTAACAGAGTTGAGTAGGCCGATGCTGAGTTGGAGGGTATCAAGGAGGCTGGTGGTGACGCCAAGCTCTTCCAGTATGTATTCCCTTCCCCATATCTCGAACACTATAATCTTCCTGCTGGCAATTGCATTTGCAAACGCCATATCACCATCCCCATCTCCCTCAAGACCACCAGCTAACCCACCTCCAGAGTCGCCGAGACCCTCCCCCAAGACGTCCTCGACAAGATGTACGCACCCCCCAAGGACGCCTCGATCCCCACCCTCGACGACCCCGCCGTCCTCGAGGAATTCGACGGAATCCTCTTCGGCATCCCCACCCGCTACGGCAACTTCCCCGCACAATTCAAGACCTTCTGGGACAAGACCGGCAAGCAATGGCAACAAGGTGCCTTCTGGGGCAAATACGCCGGTGTCTTCGTGTCAACCGGTACCCTCGGTGGCGGCCAGGAGACTACCGCCATCACTTCCATGAGCACGCTTGTGCACCACGGTTTCATCTACGTGCCGCTCGGATACAAGACAGCGTTCAGCATGCTGGCCAACCTCGATGAGGTTCACGGTGGTAGCCCCTGGGGCGCTGGTACCTTCTCCGCTGGTGACGGCAGCAGGCAGCCCTCTGAGCTTGAGCTTAACATTGCCAAGGCTCAGGGTAAGGCTTTCTACGAGGCGGTTGCTAAGGCCCACCAGTGACTAGATGGCGGAAAGACTGCTGGCGATGCTGTGGGTGAGAAGAGCGTTGAGGGAGTGAATGGAGCGGGAGCGGCGACTAACGGTACTACTACTGCTGCGCCTGCTGCTGCTTCGTCTGCTCCTGCTGCTACTTCTTCATCGCAGCCTCAGCAGAAGGGGCCGGAAGAGAAGGATAAGGAGGGTCCGTGTGGATTGCCTGCGAAGTGCGATATCATGTAGACGGTTCTGTTGTTTTTCTTCTTCCGCTCTCTATAGTTCGCTTGTTTAGACATCTGCGCGACGAGATAAATGAAATAAAGTAATACCTTCACCAGTTCAGCCATCGTAGCTTGACCTATAATGACCGAATTGACTATCCAATCTATGTATCGGATAAAACACACCATGAAGAGTTACTAGTGATCATCTAGTTGTAACAAATGGCATATTACTCGCTTTATTGATGGATTTTGAAGCTCTTTGGTGAAGAAAACATTGGGTATCATTCTGTCCAAGTACTATCGAATATCCAGAACCAGACTGCTGAATCGGAAATCTATCACACAAGACCTCAACGAAGCTCTTACCACAAGAAACGCTCCGTCTATACCAACCCCAAAGAGAACGCCAAATCCCACATTTCACCCGGATCTCTCTACCCATCTTTCTTCCCCTCCTCCCCTTTATCCTGCGGAACATGATCATGAATGAACTCATCCACCCAATCCTTTACTCCATCCGCCTTGTGCGTCAGCCACTCCCACCAGCTTTCCTTCTTATCTCCCTCACCCTTCTCCCCACCTTTCCCATCACTCTTCTCACCATCTTTCAACTCGTCTTTCCCGCCACTTCCCGAGGGCGGCGTAGGCCTACTAGGCACATCCTCCAAACTCGGACTTGTGTCTTCTAGTCCGGACGCTGATGCCGCGATGCTAGACAGGGAGTTTAGGTCTGTTGCGGGCATGGAAGCGAGGTTCGATAGGTGTGGTAGAGAAGAGGGGAGGGTGGAGGAGGAAGAGAGGGTGTAAGAAGACACGGGATCCTCGGGCGTTTCTTTTTCGTTGCCAGAGACCGAGTCATCGTCGGAGTGCAGGCCGACAGGCTTGAGCGGTAGGCGCAGAGTACCGTTGTTAGGCGCGGGATTCAGACCGATGGAGTCGCAGACTATGTTGTAGAGTTCGATGTTTTCTGTTGGGGTGGTGTTAGTTTATATTCTTCTGTGTATGTATGAATGGTGTGATGGATGAGATGAAGACTTACGAAACGGTTCCATCCTGCTTCCAGCTTTATGTGGGAACGCAGGGCCTCTTGCGATGAAGACGGCACGCATAAGCGGATGTTCATGATCGTATCCATGGAGTCCTTTCGGATGATACTCCTCGCCCGTCTTCAACCCCACTTCGACGTTGAACTCGTCTTTCGTCACAATCGCCCAGCCTGTCTTTGGTATAATCCACAAGGGAGCAATCCTGTCGTTTTTGCTAAAGTGGTAGCGCTCCGGCATGTTCTCATCCCGCAGGTAGACATCTAGGTTAGGGTTGTCCTTCGTACGTTCTTTGAGCTGGTTGTATAGACGATGGAGCGAGGCTGGGTCTTTCGGACGGAGACCGTAGAGGGGCCAGCCGTCTGTGTGGGAGAGTTCCGCGGGGTCGATGAGGTCCTCGAGTTGAATCAGGCGGGTTTTGTCTGTGGTGGCCATGCCGTGGTCTGAGACAACGATTACATTGACGATGTTTGTTAGGTTGCGTGCGTGGAGACCGGCTAGGATGCCTGCCATCATTGTGTCGGCGTTGGCGATCGTCTTGCGGATCTCGGTGCTGTTTGGCCCGAAGCGGTGCCCGTCGCCGTCTACGTCCGGGACGTACGCTGCGATAAGCTGAGGTCGCGGTGTGTTTGCGCTCGCACCAATGTCTTTGGGGCCGGGGAGATCGAGGAGTTCCATTATACGGTCGACCTTTGTAGGCAAGACTTCTGAACCGTTGTACTTGTCGATGTAGGCAATCTCTTGGTTCAAGATGTGCGCTTCAGAACCTGGCCACATGTGTACTGCTGTTCTGACTCCTTGCTTCTCAGCTGTCACCCAGAGAGGTTCGCCGCCCCACCAGTGCGGTTGTAGACTGCGCTTTGGATCCGTGTAGTAGAACTCCTGCTCGAGTTCTGGGTCCCAGAATGTGTTTCCTACTACGCCGTGCGCTTCGGGATACATGCCCGTGGCCATTGTGTAGTGGTTCGGGAATGTGACGCTGGGGAAGCTGGGCATCATGTACTTTGGCGATATCCCCTCTGCCACGAATTGGTTGAGCGTAGGTGTGAGGTTTCGGTATAGGAAGTCGGCGCGGAAGCCGTCGAGCGATATGAGGATTGTCGTCGGCGCAAAGAGTGAGGTGCCATTGGAGAGCATGGCTGCTGCTTCTTTGACATCTTTCGGGGTAGAGAGATTGTACGTGGCTGCGAGGAGAACGACGAAGAGGACGATGATAGATACGTATATGGCTATTCGGCGGTATAGACTCTTCCTGCGTACCTATCCTCTATTAGCTTCGCTCGCGCATCTGTAGACTCTACAAACCTTCCTCTGCGACTCGCTCGCAAGCAACCGCTGTTCATCGCTCAACGAACTTCTTCCGGATCGGAAACTCGTACTGGAAGCGCCAATGCCTTCTTCCATTTCGTACATGAGCGCGCTCGACTCTTCATTGCCGCCTTTCCTGCGCTCCTTCATCTCCTTCTTCTTATCCCACTTTCCGACCTTGACGCTCGAGGCTCTGCGCCCCAATAAGCCCTTGCCGCCATCTTTCTGCGTAAGAAGCCTCTCGCGCTCATCCTCCGAATCTAAAATGTCGTGATCGCGTTCGTCG